AGTAAAAAGTGGAACTTCATGATAGCATTCACACTTCTGATGACGTTGAAGATGCTGCATTTGCTTGTATAGACGGCCGCAGAACGAGCATTGAAACCTAGAGCTGCCTCCCACCACCTTCACCACGAAACTTGCTGAAAAGTAACTACAGTTAGTACAAAAAAAGTTCCAAATATGTCTTATAAATTTTATTAAAGTCTATGATAAATCTACTCTTATTAGTGAAAGGTTGTGATTCAGATTGAAAGATTGCCTTTTTGGTACTAATAAATATGGGGCTAACTGGGATTATTTTTAACCTGAATACGAACAAAGGATAAAATAACAATGACGCGAGTTGGCTTGTTTGTTACCAAATAAGACCAGCTGTTTCTTCAGCCAGAATTTTTAAAAACCTAATACCAGATGGGCCAAGTTTGAACCATCAGCTAAAGACTTTTCTATGGATCGAAAAATCAATCTTTTGAACATTAGGCAAGCACATAATCATTCAGTTATATTGATTCTTATTGCTTTGCTATTAACAATATCAATAGATGGGGACGCAATAATGATGTATTATGTAGTGTAAATTTGTTACTGACTAAGACCAGCTGTATATTAGCATTGACTATTGGATACAGATATTAATTCAACCTTTTATACCCAAATTGGTTAGCCCCCAATGTTATAGCCCAATTTGATTAGCTAACCTTTTATTAAAATACAGTGACCAAGGATGGCTGGGCCCAGATTCTTACCGTCGAAAGGTTTTTACTTTTCTCAGGATAGATTCATCAACCTTTTGAATGTTAGGCGATCACTACTCAGCTAACCAGCAATTTCATCGCACGAAGAATCTAATAAATAGGCCATGGAAAACTATCTTATTACTTGGTAATGAAACTGATCTTTTTACACAAACTACTCATAGGGTTTAACATGAATGATGATTGAGTTAAAAGGGGTAAAATGAACGAATAACAATAAGGCAACATCGGTATATTTCAATAAAATTATTTAACCCATAAAACTTACATTAGAAAAAAGTACCGACAATAAAAAATTATAAAGTGATTTTTTTAATGCTTAATCATCATGTGCATGGTGAGAGTCTCTTTTCGTCGACATCTGTAATCGCACAAATTGCAAGAAAATTGTGGCTCCATATTACAAGAATATCTCACATGGCGGATCAAATGATTCTTGTTCTTATACTTTCGTCCACAACGCAGACACGAATGTCGTTGATCTGAAAAAAAAACAATAAATTTATATAACAAGGTGAATTCTCAATCCTATTTAATCTTGATTGAATTCTTTGAGTCTGATTGATTCTTTGAGTTTATATATTTAGCTACAATTAGTAATGTAATGAAACCTTCTTGTGCTCCTATTTACGCAAACCTAACTGAACAAAAATGGCTGAAAAGCTTTTAAGCTAATATTTGGGACACATGTTTAGAACTACTATGCTAGTTTTTTTTTTAAGGGTAATTGTGTAATTGTGTAAATTTGTGAAATTTGTGAAATTTGTGTAATTTGTGTAAATTGTGAGATTGTGTGCTTATCGTCAACCTATAAAGATTTAAAATATTCTTGTTTGCACATTGATATTACACCAAATAATATATCTTCTAAATAGAGAAAGGTAAAAAACAAATAAAACTATTAATATTCGTTTTAATTTATTAAAATACTCTATACTACATATATAATTTGAAACGCAAACCATTATCTAGATTATAAAGTAGTATTAAATATGTGTAATACAATTGTTAAATATTTGAAAAAATAAACAATAGTGTAACAGTTCGTATTTATAAAACACAACAAAATAAAAAGAACTTAATTTATATTTGTATTGCATTTAAGTAATGTTAGAAGAAACTGTTCTTTTTGTTAACATAGCTTCTTGAATCAGAGTTTTATTTTATCCTTTTTTATGTGTGGTATCCAATAATAGTTAAAACGGCTTTTCTTGTTTGATTGCTAGTGATTTTCAGGGCAGTACAGTATCGCATAATCTTTCAATCCTCCCATTTGATAACATTTTTTTATATTTGTATATTATTTATTGTTGTGCACACCAGAATAAAAATATAGAACTCTACATCATGCCATGCCAAAGTTTCTGTTCCAAAATCATAATTACATTACACATCATTTAAATTATGATGATCATATAATCGGCTAATTATAAATATAAATTTGCCTCATCAATGAAATTGAAGTTCAGTTTTTACAATTTATATACTTTGTTTTTAGCTATACTCATAAACTAATATTCCTACTACTTCAGGAGCTATTACAATGGATTCTAACGTATCTATTTATATAAAGAAAGTAATTATGTTTGTGCACTTTTGTGAACATTTTGTAGATTTGTCGCTGCCTTTTGATTAGGTACTAGAAACATAGATTTACGTCATGACAAAAATATTCAGAAAAGTTCTGTATATTTTACTAAATGTTGCAAGTGGTATTAATAAGTTGTATTATGCGTACTAACGATGATTTAAAAAACCGCAGTACCTGATTTGAGTAAACACAATTTTCCATACACAAACAAAACTAAATATCATGTAATAGTAACAAAAACAGAGGTTGATTTTATTTTATATACATAAATAGAAACAGTGAATAAACCTATAATTTTATAATGATAACTAACAATAAACATATTAAACATTTACAATACCGTACGTAAATAGCTCTAAATAACTAATAAATAGATAGATAAATAAATATAATTTAATTGAGACAAATTTAAAGCATTACATTGTGTTTGTATTTTTTTTTTGTACAAAATATTAAGTAATCAGCTTTGAAAACAATCTTTTCATCATACCACAGCACATATCGTAGCCCTAGAGGTTGCGACATTTTTACTTATTTAAAATACTTTTTTGATCGGAGTGACATGAGCCCGTGGCCTCAGGGACCAAATCCCATGCTCTACCACTAGACCACCTCTCTCCTTATCTTATGAATTAAATGTATACAAAAATATGCTAAATAAGCTACACTAAGAAGTGTAAATCCTCATAAAACCAATATTTATTATCGTACTGCACAAAAGGCAGCTTTCTCGTCTTCTCGTATTTCATTTGCAATTTCAAATTAAACGAACCTTGACTGAAAAGAAACAAGGAGTCGCATATGATTTTTTATCAATTTTAACCATAAAAGTTCCATTAGGTTATTTACATGTTGTTTTAATAAAGAAAAGAATTTATACTCACGTTTTCACTAAAGTCGGGACCACGTAAGTTTGCAGTAGAGGGAGGAGCCTATTTACCATATGGTTTTGAATGAACCAATGAGGACCATACGGTGTTGCTAAATCTAATAATACCAGCTGATTTGAAAATATTGCTTAGTATATTTTTATTTTTATTAGTGTGGTCAACAGGCCATGTGGCAACGTCGCACTAGCCTTGTATTGTGGTTGGCTGCCACCAACTGCAAATTTACGTGGTCCCGACTTTAAATATTTTAATTATTGTAAATAAAGATAAAAAAAAAAAACACTTTAGTTCGAAAAGTTATAAGGAAGCAAAATCATGTTTTTGTACTTAAAATTTCTGAGTTTGAATTTGCTTTGTTTACGATCCATTCAGAAAAATCCAACTTTGCTCCTAGTCATAAAACTATTATTTAAAAATTGTTACTGTTTTCAAGTTTTATTGCTATAAAAATATACCATAGTTCAAAATAATAGTACTTACAGAAAGATAGCGCAATTACCAATTTTTATCACAAAAGTACTTCCTACATACAGTAAACTAACACTAAAATAACATAATCGCACTTCATCATTAGACAATAATTATATTATTTTGAAAATTGTCCATCTCTGAAAGCATTATAAACGTACTTTGGCATTCCCTGTTTTAAATCTCCACAATGTGAGATCTTATTGCAACAATAATCATAACATGTATGTCTATGAAGAACCTTTTAGAAACAATCCAATTAGCAAACATACGCAGTGTGACAGCGTCCAGTAAACTAATATTGAGACCTTTAAATATAGTTAAAAGGGGTTGAATACCTTTGTACCAGATAAAAATCCCATTCAAATAAAAAATTGTGCCACTGTTGTTAGAATAAAAAATGCCATTTATTATTTGAGACCAAGAAATCAATGTATGTATGAACTAATTTACTTATTTATTCTATTGTGAATTTACATGTAGACCAGCACTATAAAATTACGTAACGCGATTAGGGAGGAGGTGTGGTTTTCATCATTGTTACAGGATGTTAAAAAGAGGGAGGGGGTGAGAAAAAGTGTAGGGGTTTGCCACAGCCAAGATAAATGTTCTTCCCTCGACTTTCTTCCCTCGAGCACGGACTTGCAGTCCATTCGGGGAATACTATTCTTACCACTAAAATGTATTCCTGTATTTATAAAGCTGAATAAAGTGATTTTTGATTTGATTTGATGTGCAAATTGCTAAAGCAAAACTCATAAGCAAAATCACAGCGTCGAACTTGTGCCTCAGCGTTGAGGTTAAACATTTGAAACAAAATGTTTATTTGAGGGGGGTGGCCTAACGTTATGTAAGGTTATTATTGGGAGGTTATCCCAAGGTTTCGATTTCGTAAGAGATGGTTGCGTAAAATCACCGAGTTTTTCATTACATAATCTATGGATGCTTCCTAACTGTCATTCATAGCTGAATAAATGCGAAAATTATTAACTGAAACTATGAAAATGTATTGTAATAAATTGACGAAACACATTGGTGTCTGGTTGTATAACAATTGAATTATTGTTTCCAAATAAAACGTCTGATTTAAAAACTTGAAAAACTACAGCTGATGATATATTAAGTCAAAACTGTCACATAAACCAACATAATAGGCCTATACCAACATTTTGCATTCATCCAGTTGTAACAAAGGACTATAACTGGACACTATCAGAGCAACGTATGGCAAAAACCTTTGAGTATTGCAAATGGCATGTTTTCCAATAGGTTCCAAAGACTAACAAAATTAATTCGTTTCACTCTCTGTAGACTCCGTTTTCACAACCGCTTGAAAATTCGCTTCCAAGTTGACACTTCTTATAGTGTTCAGCCCCGGCATGTTCTTGGAGAAGGTCATCCCGTGCTTGAACCGCTGGTGAGCCGTGACAGCTCCCTTCTGATTGGCTCGATATGGACAGACGACACACTTGAACAGTGGAGGTTTTCCACATTCGTAGCGGAGGTGTTGTCCGAGACCTCTCCTGTATTTGTATTGTCTGCTACACCTAGCACACACGAACTTCTGGCGACCATCGACCTGCACTAGGTAGTACATCCAGGTGGGGATGCGACCCCCGGGGTGAGTCCCGTCTCCCGGCCACTCTGTAACATAAACCAGGGATTCTAGATGTAAATGTAGAGACAGGAGTCTATGAATGAGAGTGATTAAATAATGAGAACTAGTTTTGGGACCACAGAATTCCACAGGACCTATGTGGATAATATTGTAACCTCAAAGTAAAATGGAAGACGTTTTGATTGTTTGGGTTATTATTTGCACCAAATATGGAAACAATTACATGAAATGTATGGCCCATAGACCTGGCTAAAGTGAAGACTATGTTATAGTAAGGATTGGGTAAAAACTGTATGTCACCAAATTATAACGTACATGAGGATGTGGAGTTTCAAATAATGTAGAAGTATAGAGATTTTTAGTTTACAGGATATCTGTGAATTATGATAAGTAGATTCAAATAGTGGAAATGTAGATTCACAGAATATTAGTCTATGAAGGATTAAAAGTATAAGTAAATTCAACGAATGTATATTTACAGGAGTTTGTAGATCAATCACAGGTCTCCAGTGGATGTATAATAATATTGATTAAAAGAATGATGAAGTATTGGTATATGAAGATTTATGAAAAAATGATCAAAGAACAAATTTAAGATTGAGCTTTAGTTGATGACACCAGACTTAAAAACTGAACCGAATGGAAAGGGTTCCAGCCACAAAAACCTCTTGAGTATTGAATGATTATAGCTGGAATTGAGGAAAATCTACAAACTTGCAAAGAATTTTGATGATGCATTCTTTTCCCTGCCATCCATAGAAATGTTTATAACTTAAGCTAAATTTATGAAAAAGTTATAATTCTTACTAAACTAATAAGAAGATAGATTATAAACTGAAGTGTTCTTATACTACCTCCAATAAAATTAATCATCGATTCTGAACAATTGTCAGTTGATTTTTAGAACAAACAACAATTGACTAACAGCTTGAAAGAGAATATCCATCACCAAAAGATATAACCAAACATATATCAAAGCTCTAAGAAACAAGCTATACATAACAGGTAAAACACATGAAGTAAAATACCTGCACTTGTTGGTCCATGCAAGGAATCTAATTTAAACATTCTGTGCTTGTTAAGGTGAATTAAGGTTAAGTGTAATTAATGCAATTTAAATTTCAGATGAAATACTACAAAATACAACTTTAGTTACAGTTAATTACAAGAAAACAAATTATACACAAAAATCATATCTGTGTTTATATAATTATTGTTGCAAAGCATACTTACATTCCATTGTTGAGCTTCTTTTTATTGTTGGCTTCATCTTGAATTTTGAGTTGAGTATTTTTATGGACCAATATCAATTTTTGGGAAAAAAGCTAAGGGCTACTTTTTAACTAAGTATAATCTCTCTGGACTTTTTTGTCTTTATTGACTAGTAGAATCTTTAGCAGTTGAAAAACTCTGCGTTCTTAACATCAACAGTTATAATATCTCATGTATACTAATAAAGTGTAAATTTCTAGAAATATTTTACTTTTCAATTTCTCAAACCATATGATGGGCTTTAATGTAGCTGTTTATCACTAAGTGCTATACAATATTATCGGAAAAATCAACAATATACAGTAATAGCATCGACTTTTTTTATAAGTTCAAATACAATTTTAAACAAAATTATAAATTTTTAAGTTATAATCGATTAAGATAAATGAAAGACAGTTATGTGGTGTTGGAAAACTGGATGATTTGAAAAACATGATGTGTTGTATTTTTTAAATTTTCTCATTGATGAGGAACAGGAATAGGAGTAGTAAGAAATTGTCACACAAAATCGTGCCAAAGTTTAATATTTTTACTGTGATTAAATAAATAACTGCCCTTAACCAATAAAAAATGTAAGCGTTACAACCCAAACATATAATAAAATTCAACTTCCAATAGTGTTTGATATATTTACAAACATATATACATATTTTGATATATTTTTGTTTAAGTCATACTACAAATATTTACAAGGCGGCGAATGTGCAAAAAATATGTTAAAATGACGTTTGATTTTGACCAACCCCACCAGAATGATTGGAGACTAAAACAAATAAAATCTTATCGTACATTTGTATGAATTAATAAACAATTTTCAAATACAAATAGCAACAGGTATAATTAGATTTATTTTCATCCTACTTTCACATCCTACAAAGCTAACCTAGTTCAGAACCTTTTCACACATTACGTCAAGCTTTCTAAAGGGTTGCGGCATCATCAAAATACTAAAGTCATTGGAGATTGGCGGTATTTGAACCTTGAACCTCAGGAACCACAGCCCTGCACTTTACCACCTGCTCCCTGGTATCATAACGTGAATTACGAAATTGATTGGTTGTCCAAACTGTTATTTATCAGCCACATAAGTTTCTCAACACTTCCCTCTTCAGACCCGCCAGCAGCTATCACAGCTTGATCTCTATGTCTCAGAACCACGTGTGACTTCAGACCACTCTTCTGCTTCGTCCTGTGTGGACAGAAAGGACAACAGAAAGCTGGTTCCTTGTTGCACTCCATACGTTGGTGGTAGTTCAAATGGCTCTTCTGTTTGTAACTCTTTCCACAGGTGTGGCATTGATGACGAACTGTGAAAAAAAAACTATTAGTACGAATATTTTGGCGTGTAAAATATAATAGTGATTTTATTATCTCTGGTCGTGTAGAAGTTTTAATTCCGAACTAAGAATCTGGTAGTAATTAGGACAGTGTATTTTTCTGACAAGCGAGACAATGGTGGTCTGTGATCACAACCCTGCATCTTATCAGAGCAGTTATTACTGGTTTGTAATTTGTGTGTTTTAACGCCATTGACATTATTTACGGTTTTTGAAACAACGTACTTAACTTTAGACTTGTTACTAATGTCAACCTTCTGTTACTCGTTTAGGATTCTATGAAACCTGATTACATTTTGTATGTACTAAACTATTATTGGAAACTAAAGTAGGCCTATATGACTTTCATTAAAAAAAGAAATAGTTATAGGTAGTTTTTTGGACTGTTCCACCAGATATTGCTGCCTATTATAGTAATAGTGTAGTATAGTATTACCTCAAAGCTACAAACTCAATTACAGTGAAACCTCGATAAAAGACCCTTGACAACAAGTCACCCTTGATAACAAGTGTCATTTTTAGATCCCCTAGAATTTATTTTACCCCTAATCACATGTTATTGCAAACCTCGATAAAAATACAACCTTGATAACAAGTTTTATTTTATAATCCTCATGAAAGTCTTTTTATCAAGGTTCTACTGTGTATCCTTAATAGATTAAGCATATGTCAAAATCCATTGCCAATTTCGGTTTTTTTTACAAATTTTAGTAAACAAATATTTTTAGTTCTTATTAGATCCTTGTAATTATTTAACCACTAGCTGTTGTACCCGTGCTTTGCAAAGGGAAGAGGACACAAAATAGAAACGTTAATACTTACCTAAGATATAACTACTCCTGTTCAGAACAAATTATCAATGGATTTGAAATAATTTAACTCACAACACTTTTCGGTAAATAACCCTGCTTTATTTATGCAAACAGTGTCTTAAATCACACATAAGGCATTATTAAACTACAAACTCATTTGAAGGTTACAACACGTACAATTTGACTCCAACCATATTGCAAGATAGTTCAAAACTCAAACGTCCCTCGATGATTTCTTCATTTCATCTGTTCACACCCTTTCCATATTTAAGATTGTCAGTTCATTTCCAATTCTGAGGTAACTGTTGATGTTTCTTGTAGAGGTGACTGATCATAGTTCCTTTCTGCTTCGCCTTGTATTCGCAGAATTGACAAGAGAACATTGGGTCCTTGTTGCATTCGTACCTCTGGTGCAGAACAAGACTCTTCTTGTGTTTATAGCTTCGGTCACAAACTCTGCAAACGAACCTTTCTGCTTCCCCTGCTCCTGTGACATGTTCATATATTGAATTCCATGCATTTATTTGAAACAATCGTTACGTTGAACGTTTAAAACAATAGTTTTCACTCAAAGGAATTTTTGTAAACAACAATGATGTTGAAAGATTATAACAATATTAGTATAATCTGTGTAAAATATACAAAGTGTAAAATAATATATGAAGAAACTTCCTGTGTATTAAAACAGTACATATGTGGTACAAATGAGCGCGTCATTGGAGTTTATTTTAAAAATAAGTAAGCAGGATGGGATTTAAAAAGGAACGCTAACAAGTAGCATTGCTGCGAGTCTGGTTTAATTTGTTTGTTTCATAGAAATTCATCAACCTGGTTTTATCCTTCAGAGGGGGGTTTACAATAAGCACAAGAAAAAGAAGATTTTCATTAAATGGTTGCTTGCAAGGATAAAAAAGTTAGAATATGTAATATTTTTCTTTATCCCTTGTTTTATGGGCATTTAACCACAAGAGAGTTCGAATCCCACCTTAATCTGTATTTCACCTAAGATCAAACAGAAAAAAGGGGGTTCTCACTCTTTATTTTAGATTCATCACCACTAAATTCATAAAATAATGAAATGGACTAAAGAAAAGGGTATAACTCTAGTAAAATTGCCTATATTAGAAGTTAAAAGTACTAAGCTATAAACTGTATTGAGTTGTTGATTCCATTAAATATTAAAAATGAAAACTCGATTAAACATTTGTAAAAATACTTTATTGGAGTTTAAGGGCACATAAGTGATTTAACTTAGGATTCTATTTATCTACATATTATCTAAAAACCCACTCATTTTTATTATATTAAAAATTAAATATCAGTACAAAAATATTTCAACTATAAAATGATAAAGCTAACAATAAACTACCTGTGTTGCATTACTTAATCAACTAAAGTAATATTGCAAATCTTTTTAAAAAAAAAAAACAGGAAAAACATAATAGAATTTGGCAACTGTTTTACCATGGGCACTTACTTGTTTTTGTACTATAATTTGTAAGTTATAATTTTTACTATGTAAACATTTTCTAACCAAGCTAAGTTTAAGTGTATAAATTAAGCCCTCGACTGTTAATCCAGCAGCTAAATACAGCACAGCTTTCTAAATTCAATTAAAGAACTGTACCCACAAAAAATTAGCCGAAGCTTACCCTTTTAAGTTGACTTTTAGTTATGCTCTTGTAAGTTATTATTAAATATCCACATACAACAAAATAATATAGGCTATAGAACACATAATTTTACTGTGATGTAATTAAAAAAAAAATGAATTAATAACTGGTAAACCAAGAACAAAAAGAGTAATATTTTAAAGTACAACCAAAGGTTGAGTCAATTGTTCAAACTTTTGTTTAGCAGCCACATAAGTTTCTCAACACTACCCTCTTCCCTAGCTTGATCTCTGTGTTTAAGAGCCACGTGGGACTTCAGACCACTCTTCTGCTTCGTCCTGTGTGGACAGAAAGGACAACAAAAGGCGGGTTCCTTGTTGCACTCCATACGTTGGTGGTAGTTCAAATGGCACTTTTGTTTATAACTCTTTCCACAGGTGTTGCATTGATGGCGACCTAAAAAATACTTTGTAAGTAACAAATATATAAAGTAATTATTAAATCAAATACCATGTTTTAATTTATCTCCATCAAATGGTACAAAAATTATAAAGTTGAAACAGCTCTGTATAATCGATGTACTATTTGACCAAGATAGAGGAAACCTGGTGTTTATTAAAATAGTGCATGGGCCAGAAACGGGAATGTTGTATTGTTTTAACTTGAGAAATCATTTAAGGTACTAAAGGTTCTTTCACAATAGTATGGTCCCGTAAATGTTTTGACTTGATTGGAAACTCCAGCAATTAAGTTTCAAAGCAGATTTTAACCACACTACTTTTAAAGCATAAATTTTGTATTATTTATCTCGTTTTAAAATCTCAATTTTTTTAAATCACAGACCTTATTTTTTGTCTGGCCAAAAAACGACAGAGGATGATATATAATCTTTATTTTGTTAGTCTTAGGAAGTAATTTGGCTTTTTACATTCTTGCCAAGATTTATTGTAAATGCAAAAAATGTATTAAAAAATAACTGTTTTCAGGGATAAAGAAGTCTATATTTTGTCAAACAATCGTATATTTTTAACAATTCCAAATTAAATAATTCCTTATGCCAAACTAAAAACTATACGTATATCTGTGTAATACCACAAAATGAAGAGAGAAATAGCATGACGTAGTAGTTGCCTATTGGCAAGAAACTGAGGATAAATGAAACCTGCATATTGCATATTTTTACACTTCAGCATATTCATACCAGGAATCTAAAAAATGGCCACCAGAGGTGCAAAGTACCCTTGAGAAGTGCTGCCGTCAAATATGTATCATTGCTAGTAGCTACATCTCTTTGCTCTTCAGATATACAACGCGCATGCAAAATTGGGGTTTCCTCTTCAGTGGATGGAAGTCACAGGGAATCCTTTGTGTTTATTGATCACATGACACTTGAGAGCAGACTTCTGTTTACACTTGTAGGGGCAACACGGACAAGCGAACTTGGGGGCTTGGCCGCATTCGTAGCGAATGTGAAATGTCAAATGACTCTTTTGCTTGTAGCTTCTCCCACAAGCACAAGGATGTCTGATTTGAAATGCTGCTGAACTGAAACAAACTAAGAAACAAACTGTTAGGTAATCTTTTAATTGTAATATATATTGTATAATAATAAGGAAAGGAAATAGGGAGGATAGGCTGGCGATAGGGTGGGGAGGGGGGGTGGGTTAGTGGTCCCCGAGGTCTAGAGCGAAATTCTGCCAAACACCAATGGACTTTCTAATAGTGATGCCCATACCCTAAAGGCCTTACCTGAAGAAACGTGCAAGTAATGTGTGTTCAGGCTGAGCCTAGTGTCTATGGTTGTGAATGTGGGACCTTGACTATAAAACGGTTTCTATTTCTGTCTAGCAAAAACCCCTGGAGATAATTTTGTTTTTGAAAAGTTACTGGACTAGGATTTCTAAAGACATATTTTTATAGTTTTTTATTGACCTTCACTTGTGTGCCCATGATCTCAAAGTGTACGATTAATATATCTTGGTTTAATGTGTACAGGGGTGTCTACACCAATATAATATGTATCAAATTATTAATTATAGGATATTTCAAGGGATGCAATCCTAACACCAATAACCTTTTTGTATAGGCTGGATATTGAACCAATCCTTTCTGCCAAAAGACTATCCAAATTGACGGTATTCGAGATAATGGAAACAAAATTTAACTTCATAGTGATTTTACATTACACTGTCCGAAGCTGATTGACTAATTAAATAAAGACATTAATCATAAAAAATTATAAAATCATTATTAGTTTTAGTACTAATACCAGCTAAGTTTGTACACTATTTAAGGGACTTTTTAATCTTCTAGGGTAAGTATTCATTACTACCTACTACAAAAATTTGCTAACAACTTCCTAATACACTTTGAAATATTAAGTTTTAAGTAATATGATTTTGTGATCGAATCTAGCAATCTATTGAACAATATACCGTGTAAGTATAAACATTATCACAAACATGATTGAACCTTTTTACCCCAACAAACTTTAGATGTGCGATTTGAAAATGTAAAATGAAATAATAGGATGGACAGTACAGTGACAGACAAAATATTTAATCGATTAGGATAGAAAATAATACAATATACAAATCATAGATTGGTTTAATTATAAAATATGTCATTTACACAGGCATTGTTTTTGTTACTAAAACTTACTAAATAATTCCCTGATTCAAAGGCCACTGACACATTAGCTTAGATAATGACTAACTAAAGCAATTCAATTATAATTTTGTACATTTACAAACATTTCAGTTTGCTGCTATTAATGATCATTATTTCTCCAAATCCACTACATATTTAAACAGTCTCAAGTTGAACATTTTTCTTATGTTAAATCGAAACATGTTTACAAAGCTAGTCAACATGTACAACTGTGCTTTACAAAGTGTATACCTATAAATAAAATAAGCCATTTTTCAAATAATTTGATTATTTGAAAGTAATGCATTTCTCAAATGAAACACATAATATGTCAGATAACATTGTTATTTCAAAACAAATTGAAACCTCTATAGTACATTTGGATTCAAAGTGTATACAATATAACCTATTATTGTTTAATGAGCAATTTGCTCTTTGGTAATATCACGGACGAATATTATAATAAAATACTTTAATGACAAAAATCAAATACAACCAGAATGTTCTTGACTAAACACATAAACATAGTGCCAAAAAATACAAAAGTGAGTTGAAAGCTATTTGGTAATACTAGTGTTGTGTATCACAAGTTTTTAATGTGCTTATTAACGACACGCACAATAAAGTAAATTAAAAATCAATCACTCAAAAAAAATAAATAACAAATATTAACTATTTCCCGCCGATTACATAACAACCCTATGTTTATTGATCATATGAGCTTGTAAGTTGCACTTTATTTTTGCTCTGTGAGGGCAAAGTGGGCAAGCAAACTGCGGCTCTTTTCCGCATTCAAACTGCAAATGGCGTCTCAAACAGTAACTACTCTTGTAGACCCTGGGGCACTGCGTGCACGGAAACCGCTGCGATATTGGATCTGTGGAAAAAAAGGAGATCAGATAAGTTTGATGAAGCATTAGTCTTCGGAAGATATCCGTTAAACTGATAATGATGGTTTTGTCTCCGAGAGATATAAACAGATGAAAAAACAAAGGGCATTAGACATAATTTTGGATGCGTTGTCCTGACGATGTGTTGCTGTAATACTTCACCCATTCAACAACACTGTTCTCTTCTGAAGACCTTTCGGTCTAGCTTATGAATTAAGTTTCATTGTTGGTAAGTGTGTTTGCAATGTTGAAATTGGCTTGTGCCGCATTGTGCCGATCGAAAATTCCACATGCCTATTCCAAGATCAGATTAAAGGAATCCGTACGGTCACCATCGTCATAGTGGAGATACGGCTTTAAATGTTATTAGGTACTTGTAAAAGTTGAAATAAAGAACACCTTAGTATAGACAATCCTAATAGAAAATAAAGGAGTTATCTTTCACCCTTAAGTTAAGATCAGAGTTTTTGTAAAGTCATGGAGGTGTTAGAATATTAAATGAATGGAAATTCAAGAGATCCTTCTTCAGGAAAATCATCCAAACAATACAACCTGTATCGTAGCCAGCTCTTGGATCCAGTCATGCCTCAAGACCATTGAGAAGACTCAAGACCTTAAGTCGATTTCAGCCTACTTTGACTGTATGTACCTGCCTCCAAGTATAAGTAGCATTACAGTCAAATCTGGTTTTGGAATATTGAGGTTATTCAGGTTATTTGGGACTTTAAAGTTTAACTTAAAATAAATATAGGCAACCAGCTAGCAGATACAACTCGGAAAGCACTCATCATCTATATTTTAAAGTAAGCATGTAGTTTATGTTCACCATGAAAAACCAACACAACTCTACTAAAGGAAAAACACTAAAATTGTGTGATTTTATGCCTTATAAACTAATATAGAAACTTAATTTAAATGAAGACCCTTTTTTAATACAAAGAAGGAGAGCCTACACCTTCCTACATAATAACCATGGATAGCGGCATAATCAAACACACTCATTTACAATAAATTATTATATAATGTAACCTCATCAAATGATACATTGCATTGAATACACTTACAACAGTTTGTTTTTAGGCTGAAAAAATGAATTTAAATCCCTAAAAAGTAAAAACTTCTTACATCTGAATTAAGAAAAATTCTACTAAGGTAAAGTTGTGTTTGAAATAAAATTTGGAAATGAACAATCGAATGACACATTAGGTCAACATTTCAGTTTTTTAAACTTAGTCACACATTTTGTGCATTATTTGTTATCAAAATATTAATTTGTTTTACTCTTTGGTCTGGAAGAATAAAATCAATCACTATTGACATAAATTAATTACTAGAAGGAGGTTTTAGTGAACACGGATTCATAAAGTAACCTTAAAGTAACTTATAAATCCTAATTTTCGAATAAATTTCTGAAACCCCATACTTGTCATTTTGGTTTAAGCCTTTTTCAAAGTTAATGATAACTTTACAACAAAACTATTATCAGAACTCACCGGGTTAAGCGATTTACTTGGTAAATTTCAAATCAATAAGCAATTACTTATTTATATTTTGGTTAGGGAATTAAACTAAAATTGAACAATTAAAGTATAGAAAAAAGATTGACCATTAACTTGGAATGTCTACTTCGCAGAAGTATATCTATGTTTAAAAGTTTTATATATGCTTACAAGACGTTTAAACATATCCTACATCACAATCACACATTTAGTAAAAACACGTTCTCGATCACAAATCACAGTACTAGTAGATATAGAAAACATGTTCTGGTTCACACAAGTTTTAGTAGGTGAAAATGCATGTTCTGGATCACAAATTATTTTGGAATATTTGATTTATATTTTATATATTTTTCACTGTCTCGACTGTTCGGAGACTGAACCAGTGCTCCTTATGCCTAGATGCGATGTGTTTCTTGAGGGACACTTTCTGATGGGCTCTGTACGCACACCATGTGCACGCAAACATCGGAGCTCTATTGCATTCGTAACGCTGGTGCCTCACAAGCGATCGGAGGCTTCCGTATCTGCGCCCGCAGCTCACGCATTCTGGCAAATAAAATTAAAAGTCAGAAAATGTTATTCAAGGGTATTGATTAAATATAAGTTTTGAGTTTGTCAACCGTAAGAATCGGATTAAATATATTTTTATAAATGACTCTAAAGTATCTGGTATATGGCGGTTTGATGTTAAGAACTTATTACATACACTTCAAACAATAAAAACTGTCTATGAATAAAGTATTGCTAGTTCTCAGGAATTATAACAAAACATTAGAGTTCATTGTACAATTTATCGTAATATAAGACATCATCATCATCGTTATCAATGTAACGGAACATGAAAGCCTTATCGAAACAAACTCTAGATTTTATGATACTGTACTATGACAAATATCTATAATATCCATTGGCAACGCTACATGGTACACTCATTTCATCAGAATTCCACAGTTTTAATGACGATTGATTCAATTTTTACACATTTAAATTTCATTATTGTAAGATGATGTTGAAGCCAAGTCCTCCAGTTGGCTACAACTAGTTCGCAGTTTTTAAAAACAGTTACTTAACTGAGTGAATATGTAAAATTGAATAGAATAAGTAAAACACCTTTTTCAAAGAAAAACAATTAGATTTAGCAACCAACCAAGTTGCCAAAAACACTTGTATTTTAATATGAAGATTATTTTATTTTACGATCATAACAAACGAATATCAATTAAATTTTTTAAACTGTTGTTCATCATTTGTTTTTCTTGCTGCCATCAGTAGACGATGTTTATATGATAAACAAATAATTTTCAACAAATGACAAAAAACTGTCAAATATATAATTTAATAAATATCAAAAATAGTAAAAACTAAAATCTATTACTGTCATTTATTATTGTAAAGAAGTTTGAAAGTAAACCTAAATTGAATATAAAGAAAAATAACGGTACTAGATTTTCTACAATTTCGGGTGAATAAATTCTAAACTCTAAATTAAAGTTGAATAAATTTATTACTGTTCAAAAATTTGTTTGTAAAACAAATACATATGCTCAAACTTTAAAATTCTCATTTCCCACTTTAACACGAAATAATCACTACGGATAAGAACAAATAGTTTTAGTTCTACAATATTTGTAAAACTAATCCGCTGTTGTACCATTACTAAACCAACATAAACGCAGTTTTGTCCTTGTGCTTTAAGAGTACGTGTGTCTGTAGTCCTTGCTTGTGTTTGCAGCGGTAAGAGCAATGTTGGCATTGAAACTTGGGTTCCTTTTGGCACTCGTAGTTCTGATGACGAAGCAACGAACGGCGACATTTGTAGGTACGTCCACACGTGGCGCAGGGGTGAAAGTGTTTATCTGAGAAAGTAAACCACACAATATTAGTAACACTAGTTTGATAACTAAAAGATTATGTGTTATTCAACAATTGTACATACTGGTAACGATAGGTATCTTATATACCACCAAAGCACAAAAAAAAAGGTTTACAGCTTGTAGAAGATTAAAAAAATAATTGTATAACGTAAATGTATACAAAACAATCATGTATACGAGTAAATGGTTAAATAAGTAAAAAATAATTATGTATGTAAACATAAGTGAAATAAAACTTACTTTTTATAAACTCTTTTGCGATGGCGTATTTCATTCCTTGTAGTTATTATGAGTCAATTTATTGTTCATTATAAAATCCAGTACGAAAATGGTAATAATTTTTGAATTTTATCTTAACTGAGTTTTATTTAAAGTTTATTTGTAACGACATTAAAACCTTGCCAAAACATAAGCGATTAAAAAGGTTTAAGTCCGGACTTCAGACACATTGAGTCCTTGCTCTAACCACCAATAACCATATTTAATCACTGATAAAAAAATTAACTTGAAACAGCACAATAACTATTCTAAAACCTTTACGGAAATTATTGCCACAGGAACCTTAAAATTAGGAACAGGTCTTTGACAGTTATTTTATCCCCAATAGAATTCAATATTTATTTCAAAATCACTTAAAGTGTTTTAAAACAATGTGAGTTTTTAGTGTTCCTTTCTGCTTAGCCTTGTAGGGACAGTGAGGACAACAGAAGGTAGGGTCTTTTCCACACTCGTATCTCTGATGACGTTTGAGGTCACATTTGTGTCTGTACACTTTGCCACAGAAGGTGCAACAGAATCGTTCCATGGCAGTAGCCGCCTCCAACAGCTTCTGGATCTCCATGCCTGTGAAATCATATACGTTCAGTGGACTGTTGCTGAAGACACATTTGGATTGATTTTTAAGAGGAGCTGTTCAAAAGAATAAAAAAGAAAGGTATTTTTGATTTATTGTGTGGTTAATGTAACGTTTAAAACGTCACATTTAAAAAGTTGTTGGTTTAAATGGTGTGAAGTTATGTACCAAGGGTAACAGCTTATTTAAAAACCTTTCTGTTTCCAAAAATCAAATATGTACAAATGAATATTTTTAAAGATTCAATCATCTTCAGAATAACTAGCGGAGTATGAAAATATGTTGTTATGATAAAGGGAGAGGAATTTAGAAACAGATGTATTGCCTCTGCAGAACCATTGATACCCTGCATCAAGCAGCATATGCATTCAAAAATATTTTTATCTTCATTGAAAAAAGTATTAATTAAGAAATGTTGTACGTTTTGAATTTTAAAGCCATTCACACTAGTTTAAAAACTTATGAGTATTTTGACGATATTAGGTACTTTTAACTATGAATGCTATGTCTTGACACCTTGTTTATATGGTAGGCCAGGATCCAACCAACAATACACAACAAAGACTTTTATGTCTTCTCAGGATCTTCTTTTACTTGGATTGCTTTAGGGATTAACGTGTATATAGAAAAAAATGAACGGTTATGTTCTAAAAATGAGTTTAATACAAAAGTATTTACTATGTTATGTTACATTATAGCATGAACATTGCTTTGGGTCTTCTTTGGTTTGTATAAACTATGAAACTAGTATAATAACTTGTTGACTAGAACTGAGTTGGCAATGATGTTATTCATTTAAGAGTTGTTATCAGTAAACAAATAAAGGTTAAGGTTATCTGTGTTGTCATCCGCACAAACACAATTATTGTTGATATGTGTGGTGATGAAATGTACTTAGATCACCTTTTTCTTCAGCCATATCATTATTATCAAAAGCACAATGGCCAAGGTCAGCTGGATCCAGTTTCGAACCACCGACTGACTTTTTTATACAACCGGAGACTTTTTGACTGCCATGTGAGCACTATTAACACTTAGATACCTTGCCATGAGTAGATAAAGCCTTTATTTGTTACTTTTCACCAACTAAATGTCAATCATTGAGACTTAATTTATAAATTGAAAAGAACAAATTATCAGTAAAAATTAGTGTGATAATGGTGAGTTTAAAGCCAAAATTTAAAATTAATTGAATTGTTTTCAATCAAAATGTAAACACTCGGTGGATGAAAGCGCAGAAACTCTTGCATGTAAGTCTGCATCAGGCTGGGTCTAGGTGATGTTATGCCTGAGAGCCATGTGAGTCTTTAGCGTCCCTCGCTGCTTTGCCCTGTAAGGACACTGGGAACAAGCAAACTGTGGAGGAATCCCACACTCGTAACGCTTGTGACGTGCCAGATCACGTCGATACTTGTAGATCCTTCCACAAGCATCACATCCGAAACGCTGGTTGCCTTCCCCATCGAGCAGCACACCTAGGACAGTTTATGTTTAGGAGATGCGGAAGAGGACTAGTAATAGAAGATCCCAGTAAGCTAATCATGGGAGTTTTTCAAGAAGACTGTTACTTTTTGAGTATGCCGCCATAATTTCAAACACATTTTAGAGTTACATAAATATCTCCAACACTTAAACTTTGAAACATACAGGAAACACAAACTAGCAATCTAAAAACTTTTGAAAAATGTAAAACCTTCATCTAAAATATTTTGTTACAAATAATTAGAGTTAAAATTTTTAACAACATTAAAAAAGTCGGTTTAATTAAGGTTTAAAATGTATATTTGACATAGGAGTTAACTGATCTAATGATTACCATACCAACACAAGAACTTTGAAATAAAAATACAATCTATAGAGTTTATACTTTTATTAAGAAAAATACTTGCTAGGCTTCCATTCCATCTCGAACACAAATTGCTGAGCCTGCTTGAAACTTTGGCCGCAATTTCTGAATCATACAAGCTCGTCATTTGTAGGATGTTTGAAGATCATATGGTTCCTGAGAGTTTTCCGCAGCTTGGCCTTGTAAGGACATAGGGGACAGGCGAACTGTGGTGCTATTCCACACTCGTAACGTTTGTGTCTTAGAAGGTCTCGGTGGTATTTATAACTTCTACTGCAAGTGTCACAGCCAAAGCGAAGGTTATTGTCTCCTTCCGAACCTGAGAAAATTGATGTTAATAAGAAGACTAGCTGATATAGGCCTACCCGTGATTTGCAATTGGAAGAGAAGGCAGAATGGAAATATGTGTGGTTCTTTAGACCGGCTGCATGAAATATTTACACGTACCTTATAGTCAATGCACGTACAGTTGACTTTTGAATCAAAAGACGTACATCAACCGATTGGGTTAATAGGTATGTTTTTAAATTTGATAAGGGGTTTGAATGACCTAGACTACTAAGTACAATGTATAAGAGGCCAAGAGGGGCTGATGCTTGTTTATTAGTACCTACCAATTTAAGTAAGAACTTATTTTCATACTTAAAAGTGTACTTTCGTTTGAGCTCCTACTTATATTTGAGTTAATGGATCAAAAAGAGTCTAAACACATACGGTAGTGTATTAATAAAATCAAATAATAGATGATACGTTATGGCTAAATTATTCAATTTTAGTCAAGCATCTTTACCTGTAGCTCATATAGAGATTTCACTGTAAACTATAAGCTAAATTCTACAACACTTTTACCTTCCTTTAACTAAATGTATCCCACATAATAATAAACTCACAAAAATGTTCACAATGTAAATAAACTACCAACAAAACATTTTTCAGGGAAAAGTAAACAAACTATAAATTAAAACATATGTAACAGCTGATGCTTCTTCAATACTTTTTTACCATCATATGTTTTGTTAATAAACAAATCTGACTAAAATTCTTTCAAATCCCTGACAAAGGTACCTTTAAGACGGTACCAGGTCTAAGCCCTGAAAGTTTATGGTGTTTAAACATACTCTATGAAATTCTACATGTACCAAGTTTCATAGCCATCGGTCCAGCGGGGTCTGAGTTTATCACTTCCAAACAAATATACCAACAAACCAACATAGATATGATATGATATGATATTTATAGATTTAGATATGATTTTTAATTTTAATGGATGAGGTCTTATTAAATGAACACTTTAACACTTATGTAAATGTATTTTCGCACAAAAAGGATTACACATTAAAATTAACATTAATAATCAGTTCTCTTATCACTCTTATCAGGAACATAACAAATTCAAGGAAAACACAGAGACTAACAATCAACAAAAGTATACAGCTTGGATGTATATCTATATAGGGCTGGTAATCGCAATGTTGTGTTTCAAGGCCATGTGTTTTTTCAAAGCACATTTTTGTTTTGCCCTGTAAGAACAAATTTTACATGGAAACTGTCCTTCATTCTGACACTCATATTTTTGATGACGAGACAGTAAGAATTTATGTTTGTATTTCCTTCCACAAACATTACAAGCAAACTTTCTTACGTCTTCGCTGGCATGAAGTTCTTGCATGATCATTCTCGTCACATCAAAGTCTATAAAAAGGCAAGAAAGTCAATAATAATATTTCAGTTTTTATTTGCAGCCTATATTCGATCATGTTATATTCAATACTTACAATGATAAGGAGTTATTGGATCAAAAATCACATTTAGTGCAGTAATTTTCTTTACTTTATGTTAAGTAGGTTGAGAAGAAAGAAGAACTTTAACTCCTAATTTACTTGGTACATTTGTATGAATAAACACATGCATAAGTTTTGGTTAGGTACCATCACTCTAAATATTTGGTTTATGGACATATTATTTTATATCTGAATTATTAAACGGTAAACAATATTTTTACTATAACAAAATGAAATGTTTGTAAGTGTTTTCAACATGACAATGTGTAACAAAAGCTTGATGTGGTTTTGTTCTTAGTTTCTTGGCTTTTCTTTTGTTTACTGAGCTATTAAAAGAAAACATTTTGCTGTAAACTATAATTGGTAAAAAGCAATATTTTGTAATAATGTTGATATGTTATGTGCGTGCTTAAAGGACAATACAAATTTCAATCTAACAAACAATAACATAACTGTCTATCAATGGTCGCTTTTAATACTAAATTCAAAAAGGTGAACATATAGACCCACATAGAAAAATACTTAACATTATTTTATTGAATCATCAAACTTAGATTGACATTTTAAATTAATTTGATGGTAACAATATCAATAAATGAATGCAGTAAAACATAATTTTCTGTTGTTGTGGCAATCACTACTTTTTCATGTTAGTCTTGTGTCTGACTGCAACATGTGATTGGAGTCGTTGTTTGTGGTATGCTTTGTAAGGACAAAAGGAACAAGCGAACTGAGGCTGTTTGCCACATTCAAACTTCTTGTGTCTTCCCAACAGAAACTTGTGCTTGTATGATCGACCACATATGTCACAGAAGAACTTGGACAAGAACTGCAGATAACCTGTGGAAATTATCAAGTTATTATTTTACAGACATTGAGGAAACTTTGTTAACGTTTAAACTATAATAATAGTCCTTAACAATTTAGGTGATTCAATTCTACTGGGATCTTGAATTCAATACAAACTGACATAAACACCAAATGCATATTTCTGGTGATTGCGACTTCCCTAATAGTGTGGTCTCTGATAGATTTTGATTATTAACATTTTGTGTAGTATTAGCTTTTTAACTATGATTTTGATTATTATTACTATGTTATATAAAATAAGTGACATAAAACTTTACAGTTTTTTTTAAATCACAAGCTCTAAAAATGTGTAGTCTGTTTTAATTCTTCATTGGTTTATTAAATTTATACAATTCATAAGATAATAAGTAAATAAATATGTACCTATTTCCATACACACTTGTACTAACTTTTTGCACGGGAATAACTATTCAAACATTGTGGTCGAACAGTGAAAACCTATATTGCAAAAATGTATATTACATATATAATAAAAATTTATAATAAAAAGATTATACAAATTGTACAGCTTTCCTATACGCTAAGAGTGAAAATACAAAAATACAGAAGAAAAAAGACAGGTTCCGTAAAAGAAAAAAATCAAATTATATTGCTTTTATTATACCTCAGACTGAAACTCATAATATGTTTAAGCTCTGTAAATTTGTTTTTACTTACGAACATTAAAGAAGTAGATTGGTATGCGTGTGCTTCAACGCTACGTGTTTCTGAAGATTCGTCCTATGTTTACTACGATACGGACAGTGTGGGCAAGAAAACTGAGGTTCTTTGTTACACTCGTATCTGAGGTGGCGAGTCAAGTCCCCTTTGTACTTATAACTTTTCCCACAAGTAGTACAAACATGTTTCTTTTCTTCTATTTGTCTAATGAACATGAGTGTAGAACCTATGACAAAATAAAATATAATTTGTCATGTTAATTATTAGTGCAGAGGCTGCAATGGAGATAAATTAGTGTCGGTTGTTGTATGTATTTAAAAATAGCATAGTATATACTGACTCTGTTATACAATGATGATTTTGATAGCCACAATTATAGGATTACACAATAATCATTGTAATATAATAATTAACTGCATCAATAAACCAATAGATTGAATTCTATTAGTACGGTACCTTTAGATATAACAACTCAAAATACTTTCGGTTAAACCAAGTTTGAAATCTTGCAAAGTTGTTCCGGGTCTTGATATTTTTTTAAATTAAGATTTATTGAATAGTCTTTTAAGACACTTTACGAGTTTATGCACAACATAACTTTTCTATTTTATAAACAGTTTATGCATCACTACTTAAATGCACAACTTTTTAGTAGGCTAGTTAATATTGTGATTAGTAAAAGAAAAAAAAATTTTAAGAAACAAAAATATTTTTATAAACGGTTAGAAATTTTTAGTTAAACACTTAATTGAGAAAGCCCGAAATTGACCACTAGGGGTTTTAAGCAACAAAGTCAAAATTCATCAAATTCAACATTTATTAAAATACAAAAATAGTTAAATCCCAGTACAGAATCCATATTTTATGATTTCAAATTGCAAATAACATTAAAATTAAAACAAACAAAGCCAAGAATGTATTTAACAAACAAAAACAAAATGAACTAAAATATTTGTTGAAAGTGACCAAATATAGTTTTACGTATTCTAATGTAAGGTTGTATTTTTACACATATGATAAACCCGCTCCCAGTTCAACAGTCCAGTCTTTGTCCATGTTTCAACGCCATGTGTGTTGCCAGCGTTTGCTTGTACTTAGACTTGTAATCGCAGTATCCACAGCCAAACTGAGGTTCTTTGTTACACTCGTATCTGAGGTGGCGAGTCAAGTCCCCTTTGTACTTATAACTTTTGCCACAAGTAGTACAAACATATTTCTTTTCTTCTATTTGTCTAATCGACATAAGTATAGAACCTGTGACAAAATGAAATATAATTTGTCATTATAGTTATTGCAGATGCTGCAATGAAGAGAAATTAGTGTATCACTTGCTGTATGTAATTAAAAAAAGCATTATTTATACTGACTAAATACTGAAGATTTTTATAACCACAAATTGTATAAGACAATAAAGATATTTTGACATTTTTAACCTTTTGATGGTTAACGTTGTAATATTACAATTAACTGCATAAATATACCAACAGATTGAATTCCATAAGTATGATACATTTAGAAATAACTATTTCAATTATTTTTAGTTAGGCAGAGTTAAAAACCTTACAAAGTTGTTTTGGGTCTCAATACGTAAAATTTTTCGTGTATAATTTATATTGAATCACATTTTAAATTACATTAAGATTTTTTAATGAAATGAATAAATATTTAATAGTTAATTTTAGTTCAGTTTTTTTTAAATTTAGTTCAGTAATTATACTTACAAAATTAAAGAAACAAAAATCTGGAGTTGTTTTTATATGGGTACGGTCTTTGGAAATCTTCAATATAACATCTAACAGAGGAAGCCCAAATCGGCCTCTTGGGATTTTGTAGAAGTAAAGCCAAAATGATGAAAATTCAATATTTTATTAAAATACAAAAATAGCTGAGTTTCAGTATCCATTTCAAATTGCAATAACATAACCAATAAAACACACAAAGTCGAGGAGGAATTTAACACATAGAAATAAAATAATATAAAATATCTTTTGAGAAGTGAAGTGAACAACATATTATAGTTTTGTATTCTAATGTAAGGTTGTTTTTATACAAATATGATAAACCGCTCTAAGTTCTAACGTCTATTTTTTGTCCATGTTTAAACGCCATGTGTAATTGCAAAGCTTGTTTGTGCTTCGACTTGTAATTGCAGTATACACAGGCAAATTGTGGATCAACGCCACATTCGTACTTGAGATGTCTGGTAAGATGACTTTTCTGAACGTACTTCTTACCACAGGCAAAGCACTCATGTCTCCGGTCGGCTGAAAGTCATAACCACATCATCAGTTTGAAAAATTTTATGAGATAAAGGGTTTTGGTTCTTAAACACAACCCAATTTACAAGTACATAAATTCACTAAAGGAACAAACCAAAACCTATGTTGGATGCTCTGCTACCTTTATTGTTGCAAAAACTAATTTTTCTGAGATAATGGTTTTTACCAAATTAATTTTCGGAAGAAAATTTCTTACACTAGATTTTGAGATAATTGTATACATAAACGGACATAACTCCAATTAGAGAACAGGATTTTCAATGAGATTATGGTAGATACAGTTTAGGTTTAAAAAGATTATTGTGCATACTTATTCAATGTTTGCTAAAATGCTATATTTTTGTCATTACCAGCTTCTTAGGATTTTGAGAAACAAAGTCAAAAGCAATAGGATTCATTATTTTATTAAAATACAAAAATAGTTGAATACTAATATCTGTACTGTGTAATTTCAAATTGTAATAATATTTACACCAAATCATACAAAGTCGAGAAAGCATTTAACAAATATAAATAAAATAATCTAAAATATATTTTTTGAAAGTGACAAAAATCAAGTTTTGTATTTTAAGGTAAGATTGTCATTTTCAGGATATGATAAAACCGCTCTAAGGTCAAAAGTCCAGTCTTTGTCCATGTTTCAACGCCATGTGTGTTGCCAACGTTTGTTTGTACTTAGACTTGTAATCGCAGTATCCACATCCAAACTGAGGCTCTTTGTTACACTCGTATCTGAGGTGGCGATTCAGGTCCCCTTTGTACTTATAACTTTTGCCACAAGTAGTACAAACATGTTTCTTTTCTTCTATTTGTCTAATCGACATAAGTTTATAACCTGTGACAAAATGAAATATAATTTGTTATTATAGTTGCAGAGGCTGTAATGAAGGGAAATTAGTGTGTCACTTGCTGTATGTAATAAAAATAGCATTATTTATACTGACTGTGTTATACTGATGATTTTTATAACCACAAATTATATTATAAGACAATGTATATGTGTTAAAGATATTTTGAAATTTTTAACCTTTTGATGGTTAACGTTGTAATATTACAATTACCGGATAAATATACCAAAAGATTGAATTCCATAAGTACGATACATTTAGAAATAACTAAATTATTTTTAGTTAGGCAGAGTTTATAACCTTACAAAGTTGTTCCGGGTTTCATTAAGTCTAAATTGTTCGTGTTTAATTTATATTGAATCACATTTTAAATTACATCAAGATTTTTTAATGAAATGAATAAATATTTAATAGTTAATATTTAGTTCAGAAATTATACTTACAAAATTAAAGAAACAAAAATCTGGAGTTTTTTTATATATAGGTACGGTCTTTGGAGATCTTCAATATAACATCTAATAGCGGAAGCCCAAATCGGTCTCTTGGGATTTTGTGGAAGCAAAGCAAAAATTATTAAATATTCAATATTTTATTAAAATACAAAAATAGTTTAGTTTTAGTATCAATTTCAAATTGCAATAACATTAACAATAAAACACAAAAAGTCGAGGAGGAATTTAACACATAGAAATAACATAATATAAAATATCTTTTGAGAAGAGAAAAAATATCATAGATTTGTATTCTAATGTAAGGTTGTTTTTCTATAAATATGATAAACCGCTTTAAGTTCTAACGTCTTTTTTTTGTCCATGTTTAAACGCCATGTGTAATTGCAAAGCTTGTTTGTGCTTCGACTTGTACTTGCAGTATACACAGGCAAACTGCGGATCAACGCCACATTCGTACTTGAGATGTCTGGTAAGATGACTTTTCTGAACGTACTTCTTACCACAGGCAAAGCACTCATGTCTCCGGTCGGCTGAAAGTCATAACCACATCATCAGTTTGAAAAATATTATGAGATAAAGGGTTTTGGTTCTTAAACACAACCCAATTTACAAGTACATAAATTCACTAAAGGAACAAACCAAAACATATGTTGGATGCTCTGCTACCTTTAGTTTATTGTTGCAAAAACTAATTTTTCTTAGGTGTTTTTACCAAATTAATTTTCAGAAGAAAATTTCTTACACTAGATTTCGAGATAATTGTATACATAAACGGACATAGCTCCAATTAGAGAACAGGATATTCAATGAGATTATGGTAGATACAGTTTAGGTTTAAAAAGATTATTGTGCATACTTATTCAAAGTTTGCTAAAATGCTATATTTTTGTCATTACCAGCTTCTTGGGATTTTGAGAAACAAAGTCAAAAGCAATAGGATACATTATTTTATTAAAATACAAAAATAGTTGAATACTAATATCTGTACTGTGTAATTTCAAATTGTAATAACATTTACACCAAATCATACAAAGTCGAGAAAGCATTTAACAAATATAAATAAAATAATCTAAAATATATTTTTTGAAAGTGACAAAAATCAAGTTTTGTATTTTAAGGTAAGATTGTCATTTTCAGGATATGATAAAACCGCTCTAAGGTCAAAAGTCCAGTCTTTGTCCATGTTTCAACGCCATGTGTGTTGCCAACGTTTGCTTGTACTTAGACTTATAATTGCAGTATCCACAGCCAAACTGAGGTTCTTTGTTACACTCGTATCTGAGGTGGCGATTCAGGTCCCCTTTGTACTTATAACTTTTGCCACAAGTAGTACAAACATATTTCTTTTCTTCTATTTGTCTAATTGACATAAGTGTAGAACCTGTGATAAAATGAAATGTAATTTGTTATTATTATTGCAGAGGCTGTAATGGAGAGAGATTAGTGTTGCTGTATGCAATACTTGCTGTATGTAATTAAAATAGCATTATTTATACTGACTGTGTTATACTGATGATTTTTATAACCACAAATTATATTATAAGACAATGTATATGTGTTAAAGATATTTTGAAATTTTTAACCTTTTGATGGTTAACGTTGTAATATTACAATTAACTGCATAAATATACAAACAGATTGAATTCCATAAGTACGATACATTTAGAAATAACTAAATTATTTTTAGTTAGGCAGAGTTTATAACCTTACAAAGTTGTTCCGGGTTTCATTACCTCTAAATTTTTCGTGTATAATTTATAATGAATCACATTTTAAATTACATTAAGATTGTTAATGAAATGACTAAATATTTAATAGTTATTATTTAGATCAGTAATTATACTTATAAAATAAAGAAACACAAATCTGGAGTTTTTTATATAGGTTTTTTAGGTCTTGTCTTTGGAGATCTTCAATATAACATCTAATAGAGGAAGCCAAAATCGGTCTCTTGGGATTTTGTGGAAGCAAAGCCAAAATTATTTTAATTCAATATTTTATTAAAATACAAAAATAATTGAGTTTCAGTATCCATTTCAAATTGCAATAACACTAACAATAAAACACACAAAGTCGAGAAGGAATTTAACACATAGAAATAACATAGTATAAAATATCTTTTGAAAAGTGATCTAAATATTATAGTTTTATATTCTAAGGTAAGGTTGTTTTTCTACAAATATGATAAACCACTCTCAGTTGAAACGTCTATTTTTTGTCCATGTTTCAACGCCATGTGTACTTCCAAAGTTTGTTTGTGCTTCGACTTGTACTTGCAGTATACACAGGCAAACTGCGGATCAACACCACACTCGTACTTGAGATGTCTGGTAAGATGACCTTTCTGAACGTACTTCTTACCACAGGCTAAGCACTCATGTCTCCGTTCAACTGAAAGTCATAACCACATCATCAGTTTGAAAAATATTATGAAGGACTTTTGGAAGGCTTCATACTTCAGTAAAGCCTTCATATTTGGAAGGCTTTAAGAACCAAAGGGTTTTGGTTCTTAAACACAACCCAATTCACAAGTCCATCAATTCATTATTTAGGGACAAACCAAAACATATGTTGGATGTTCTGCTACCTTTAGTTTATTATTGATCAGCTGATATGCAATTTAGTATTGTTGCCTACACCATTTTGTGTTATTGTGTTATTATGAATTAACAGTTGGTTTGTTTGATATTGTGTTAAACTGTTTATATTAATTAAGGTTTACAAGATCAATATTCATGTTTTGAAATGTTTAAGGGGACATCGTACACCCTATGGTAACAATGTAAAATTAGCAACCATAATGACCCATTTGCTTGTAAACCACTAGAGCTATCAACCTGAATTCTGTTAAGGTTATAATTCATGCTTATATATAAAACTGGTACCAAAACTATTTACTTTCAATAAAATTTTTATTTCACAATATTTTTTTAAAAAAACTTCACTAAGTGAGTGCTTAAATTTCACTTTTTTGTGTGTATGGCAGTAAAATCTTCCTTAGGTAGAGTATATTTAATGAATTCGGTACCACTTCTGTGAAATAGCTTCAAATATATTCTGTAAAAACTTTATGGTTCTATCTCTTATAGTTCCTGAGAAAAAGGGACATAATTTTTTCAAAAACATAATGTATTACAAAAAAGTCGTTTCTGGGAATCAGTCTTTAAAGGCGAGATCACTAGATTACTTAATACTCAAATGTAAGGAAAAAACCCGAGTAAGGTTTCATTAAAAAATTATTTCTTAGGTTAGGAATTTTTTTAGAGCCATAAATAAGGTGTCATTTTGTTCAGGAAGTAAGGGACTTAAATTTAAAACCAAAAATAAAAATAATATAAAAATAATTTTTTTGTATGATGTCCCCTTCAAACGTAAGCAAAGATTGCCACTTAATTCTTCAGTATTTGTTCAGAGCTACTTTTTGATTGCAATCTTCGCTCAATATTATTTAACAGAATATTTTTAATTTGTACTGTATTTTGTGAAAATAATACTTGATTTGATTAAAGTCATCATGATTGTTTTGTTGACATTTTTGTTTTTATTTCGTAACAATCATTGTACCTTATAAGCTAACAGTTAAATTTGAAAATGATTAAACTAGTTTTACTGCAAAAAATAATTTTTCTGAGGTAATGGTTTTTACCAAATTAATTTTCAGAAGAAAATTTCTTACACTAAATTTTGAGATAATTGTATACATAAACATAGCTCCAATGAACCTGTACTCAATAATTCATTAAATACTCTTGGTTTTTGATAGATATTTTAGTAATGTAACATTTTAATGTAGTAACTCAAGTTTTTTTTATTTAATCACAATCATCATATAAACAATAACAACTGAACAGAACATATGTAAATTAACAAATATAGTATAAGCCAGTACATTTGGAATGGACACATCAATCCTCCCCCTTAAATTTAGAAGGTAACATGTGGTTGATATGCCGCCTCCATATAGATCCATCATCCATTTCAAGAACGTAAATTAACTGTCCATCCTTGCTCTTTACTTTACCAAACATCCACTTGTTTTTCTTGTCTCTGAAATCATAAGCTTGAACTCTTTCCCCCTTTTTAAAGTCTCTTATTCCCTTTGCACATTTAAAGTCACTGTTTGAAGGTGTGTTATTTGTTATCATCAAATCTAGTCTGGTCCTCACATTTCTCTGAAACATTAGGAAGTAAGAATTTGATCCAGTGGAGTTTCTTGATTGTCTCATTTGCATCAAGAATCTCTGTAACTTAATTTCCATATTCCCTCCTTCATCTTTCATGGCTTGTAGACCTTTCTTTATAGTTTGGACAAATCTCTCCGCTTGGCCGTTGGAAGAAGGGTGGAATGGAGCACTTGTCTTGTGTAACACACCGTAGTTTTTCAAAAATGTTTCAAAAGTATGTCCACAAAATTGTCTGCCATTATCTGACACTAAAGTAAGTGGAATTCCAAATGTAGAAAACAATCGTCTTAATTTTGTGACACACCAATCAGAAGAAGTATTTTTTGTTTGAAATACCTCGACCCATTTTGTGTAAGCGTCAACGACAATAAAAAAATAATAATTGTTTCCAAAACAAGGCCCAGCAAAATCTATATGTATTCTTTGCCAGGGACCATCAGGGGTTTGCCATGGATGAGGAGTCGTTTGAGGTGGTTTGTTTTGTTTTAAACAACATTGTTTACAAGTCTTAGCCAGATGTTCAATATCATGATCGATGCCTTGCCAATAGCAGTAGCTTCTCGCTAAAGCCTTCATTTTAACTATTCCCAAGTGACCAAAATGAATTTCTGTAAGTACTTTTGATTTCAAATTTTTTGGAACGACAACTCTATTACCTTTAAATAAACATCCGTCTTGTAATGTAAATTCATAATCATTGTATCCAAGATTCTCAAGGCTCTTCCCTTCTTCTAAATGTTGAATGATGGTTTTAAGGTGATCTTCCTTCAGTGATTCATCTGCAATCTGTTGTTTTGTAACTGCAAACTGGGAGTGTTTCTAATTGGTTGATTTGAAAGACAGAATAATCATCAATTGAGTTTGGTAGCGACTTTTCATGTGGAAATCTCGACAAAAAGTCTGCATTGCCGTGTTTTTCTGTTCCTCTAAATTCAACTGTATAGTCAAACCCTGAAAGAAAATGAGCGTAATTGAAGATTCTAGTCGCTGCCATAGTAGGTAATGTCTTTTGAGGATCGAATATGGACACAAGGGGTTTATGATCGGTTATCAAGACAAACTTTCGTCCATATATGTATGGAAAGAATTTCTTTAGTCCAAAATAAATAGCTGCAGCTTCTTTATCAATCTGACTGTATTTTACTTCACTTTTTATCAGAGTGCGTGATGCAAATGCAATAGGTTTTTCTGTACCATTTCCTAGTCTGTGAGAAAGAACTGCTCCGAGTCCTACAGGTGATGCATCTGTTGCAAGAGTAACCGTCAGATTGGGGTCAAAATGAGTTAAAATTTGTTCACTTGTTATTTCTTCTTTGACTTTTTGAAAGCTATTTTCACAATCAGAGCTCCAGATGAACTTAGCATTTTTTGTAAGTAATCTTGTCAAAGGATATACTTTAGTTGAGTAGTTTTGTATAAATTTGCTGTAGTACGTGGCCAAGCCTAAAAATGTCTTCAATTCACTTACATTTGTAGGTCTTCTAGCATTTTGAATCGCTACAGTTTTATCAGGACTTTTGTGTAGACCTTTTTCATCAATAATGTGCCCGAGGTATTTGATACTTTTTTCAAAAAACTTACATTTGTCTCCATTCAAATGTAAGTTGTGCTTCTGTAGAACTTCTAATACCTTCTCTAATCTCAGAAGAGTTTCTTCGTAAGTTGACCCCTGGACTAAAATGTCGTCGAAAAAACATTGTACGCCATCCATACCTTGTAGTAAGGAATCCATGAATTTTTGCCACAGGGAAGGAGCAACCTTAACCCCAAACATCAGTCTATTTACTTTGAACAACCCTTTATGAGTACTTAGTGTTTGCATTTTACTACTCTCTTCATCCATTTTCATATGTAAATAAGCATTGCTTATATCAAGAGAACAGAAGTATTTGCCTCCACTCATTGTAGAAAAAATGTCTTCAATCCTCGGAATTGGGTATTTCTCGTCTTCCACGACTTTGTTCAAAGTAACTTTAAAATCAGCGCAGATACGAATGTCACCATTGGGTTTTATGACAGGCACAATAGGCGTTCCCCATTCCGAGTTGTCTACCTTGGTGATAATCTTTTGGGTTTCCAGACGGCTGAGTTCATTTTCAACTTTTGTCCTTATGGCATATGGAACCTGTCTGGCCCTTATGTATATAGGTCTTGAGTTGTCCTTCAAGTTAAGTTTTGCTTCAAAGTTTGGAATACACCCTATGTTTTTGTCAAATAAACCTTCATATTTTGCAAGTAATGAATCCAGCTCCGGCTTCCTTGTTTCATTCATGTGTATAGATTTTATTTCTCCCCAGTCTAGTTTTATTTCTCTCATCCATTCACGCCCAAAAATCCTATCGACATGTTGATTAATGACAAAGATTTTTCCCATGAAACACTGTCCCTTATAGTCACATTTTACGTATGTTACCCCCTTAGGTTTTATGATCTCCCCTGTGTAGGTGCGCAGCTCTACACCAGTCTTGTAAAGTCTTTTGGAAGGAATTAGTCTTTTGTAGTCTTCATAAGAAATCGATGTAAGTGATGCTCCAGTATCCAACTCAAAAGTAACGTTTTTACCTTCCAATTTTATATCAATGTGAAATTTGTCATCTCTCTTTTTGTCAGACAGTAAATTAATTTCATGGATATTGTCTTCAGAAATGTTATTATTTTCAGTGTAATGAACTTGCCCTTTACTGTTTTTATGTTTACTAAGACATACTCTTGAAATGTGTCCGATCTTTCCACAGGTGTTACAGGTTTCATCAATCATTGGACAAACATTCGCTCTATGGTATATATTCCCACATCGGTAGCATTTTCCTTTTCCTTTCAGTGACTCAAAATCTGTTACACGAAATTTATTACCAGTACTTGTATAAGATCCTGTGTTGTATGATTTTGTTCTAGGTCTGTGAATTTGTTCATTGGATGTAATATTATTTCTAGCTTTAAACTTTACTTGATTTATGTCTACGTTTCCACTCTTTTGACATATCAAAGTACTTTCAAATTTTGAAAGTTTCATCGTAGTAGCTGTGTTAAGAATTTCTACAAATTGTTTGTGGTCACATTTCTGTAAAAGCTGAGTTTTAATGTCTTTGTCATTAAGTCCACGTATGAGTTGTAGTCGTAATAGCATGTCTAATACAGATTTTCCACAAGCTTCGCAATTGAATTTACAATTAGTTGACAACCTTTTTAGTTCTGTAGCAAAGTTTGAAATAGATTCTCCTTCTTCCTGTATTCGACTAATAAATGTGTGTTGTAAAGCCAAAATACTTTTTTTAGGATCTAGAAAGTTGTCAAGCAAGGTCACAAGCTCCCCATACTCTTTATTTATAGGATTGTCTGGTGTACATAGGTCGTATAGTTTCTGATGTAGAAGAGGTGTCAAGGCATGTAAAAGTGTAAAAGTTTTTAACTTAGGATCATTTATACCTTTTAAAGTCATAAAAACCTCCAGTCTTCTGGCAAAATTAGAAAAGTTTTCCCTTTCATCGTAAGGAGTAAAGCTCAAATTTGAAGTAGGAAGAACTGGAATCGGTGTATTAGCTTGTAGATTTTCAGTGGTGCAACTATTTTGATTGGGAATAGAGCTATGTTGAATACTTGGCATATGAAGTAATTGGGCATCCATTAATCTTGCTTTTGTATCAATCAGCATGTTTTCAATACTTTCCCTGTAAGTTAGCTCGTTTTCTAAATCTTCTTCTTCTGTATAGAAGTCGATCTTGTCTTGAATTAGATCATACTTTGATTTAATCTCAGCTAACAAATCAAGTCTAGTTTGGATTTCATTAATTGAAAATGATCCTTTGTCCACATACTTCTTTACATTTCCAAGCTGAAACTTGACTGTTCTTCGCAATGATTTTAATTTCCTAACTTTATTTACATCTTCTGCTATTTTTTCTAAATCTTCCATTATTCTCGTCGCCATTGATAGATATTTTAGTAATGTAACATTTTAATGTAGTAACTCAAGTTTTTTTTATTTAATCACAATCATCATATAAACAATAACAACTGAACAGAACATATGTAAATTAACAAATATAGTATAAGCCAGTACATTTGGAATGGACACATCAGTTTTCAATTATCGTTTTTAAATTTTGAAATAAAATGAGAAAATGATAACAAGCAATCCAATGCGTAAAGGTTTTTTTTTAAAAACACAGTATAACTAGAAAATTTAAATAAATTTATATAAATCAATTAAACAAATATAGAAGGGCAAATGATAGAAGCCATAGTAACTAAAAATGGCAACCCAAAAATACAAGTATTTAAGCTGGGATTAAATATTAACCTATAACCTTTACCTACATTGATAAAAATCAAAATTATTAACTTATAGGGAATCAACTTTTAAAATTACCGATCCAGAACGATTTTAATTAAAATTAAATTATTTTGTAAAGGAAGCCTATTGAAAAAAACACCTTTAATAAAATGTAAGATTTTTCTCTAAACAAGTTAATTACTAATTAACTTACAAAAATAATCTTGTATACAAATTTATTGTAAACTGTCCTTAAAAAACCACCCCATGCTTCAGCACAGTGTGCGACTTAAGAGAGCATTTGTGCTTTGTCTTATAAGGACAGTGAGGACAAGAGAATTGTGGATCTTTTCCGCATTCAAACTTGATATGTCTCGTCAGGTGACTTTTGTGGTAATATCTCTTCTTACATCCCATGCAAACAAACTTCTTCTCATCTAAAAATTAAACTGAATTAAAATTTCCTCTAAAAGTAAAACTTAAATAAGCTAAAATGTGTTGTAAAAATAAACATTTACTAGTGAACCTGTGCGGCTCAATGCCCCGCAAAATAACATATGAATTTAGAAAACAAATTCAAAGCACTTCCATGAATACTACGATTCTAGCCTTAAAGTACCTACAAAATTAATGTGTAAAATTAATAAACGTATGGAGGAGTGTTCATGTTTATGTGAAATGTGTATACATTTGGTCATAATGTAGTCGATTATTATTGTTTTCCGTTACGAATATGCGTATCCTATTAAAAGATGTAGCCTTACTTAAAACAACATATAATATAGTTGCTCATGACTGAAATTGGTCTGGGTAAGAACAGCGCTGCAAATGCCAAAGGTAACAGAAATAAGCATCTTTCCATTTTAAAAGGTAAGTTTGTTTCAGACGGGTAAATTTTTATCCTCGAAATCAAAATACGTCCCCACTCACTTGTTCCAGTTAAGACTTTACATTATATTAAGTTGTTAACCATTCTGCTCACATGAAGCCTTGTGCCATTAATAAGGCCCTTTTTGATGTATTAATATTCCTCATCAATAAAACCACTGTCCCCTTTTATTATTCTAATCTGTGTCTTGGCAATCCACTGACCTCTATATTTAAAAACTCAGTTGGATTTTCTAGATGGTTGTCTCCGCCTTCGTCTGTTTTCAAGGACCAACTCTTCTTCCCCTTGGTATACTGATAATTAATTACCTGACTTGTCAAGTTCATGTAGTAATTCATTAATACTGTTAGTTTATAAAGAAAATATGATAAAAGTTACTTGGCTTGGTGCTTTCATAACTGCAAACTCAAAATACACCCACAAGTGAAAAAGAATCAAGATATTGGTAAAAAAAACTATGTTTGTGTACAGTAATACAGTAACATTATTCACATGAAGTAGATGATTTGTCGATCAGCTGTTTAGTTTCAAATGAATTAATGATGTCAAAGATTTGCAATTTAAATACATAAATTATTGTAGTAAAGTTTTCTAATTCATGGTAACTTATTCTCCACTAAATTTTACTATTCCCAGCATTTTAAATAAAGTAGTAAGATCCATTATTGGTAAACTTTAAGGTACACAATACTTGATTGAAATGTAGTAGGTATACATTAAAAGTCATAATACACAGCAATTATTATGTAGTAGACTTTGACTATTTTCAAGTAACAAACATATGTCTCTGTAAATAAAAACTATCTCCCATGTTATCCTTATGGAGGAATACGAAACTTTAAAGGGCTCCAGGGCCTCAATCTCTCATTATTTCCCTAAAACGAAAGTTTCCTGCACAACTTCACGTTACGCTCTTTCCAATGACACCAAAAACATGTCAATCGGTTTAGTAGTTTCGGAGGAGTAATTGTCACAAAAAATCTGCTTGCTAATTAAATAAGTATAGATTAACAATTTTATACAGTAAACATTTATGTATTGACAATTCATACAAATAATACTTACGAAGAGGCTATTTTATGAGATTATAAGATGTAATAAAATGTATGTAATTATTTCCAAACTGGAAGGGGCTGAGGAGAACATTTTGCTTATTCAAATCTAACATTTGAAACAATAATTTGGCTACACGTCCGTAATTGATTTTAAAAATAAAATTTGATTGTGTAAAGTTTTTGGATACATGCTTAGTATCTTTCATTCAGGAAAGTGGTGATAATTTAGTAGGCCCCTTAGTGATATATGAGAATTGCTGATGCACGCATGAAAATATGTAAATACACTTTTAAGAAGGTGTAACTCTACAAAATCGAATCATATAGATTTTGTAGAGTTACACCTTCTTAAAAGTGTATTTACATAAAATGCAGATCCATGATATATTTTTCCTACAGTAACCAGACAAAGTGACCTTCCTTGCACTGATTATAGCACAGAAAGTTGCTAGTTTAATATTTTATAGTTAATATTTTGATCAGTAATTATACTT